GCTCTGCACCACATGCACCAACCCTCGCTAGGCTCACCCTCGGGCCAGGATCTGTGCGCACGCCCTCGTGGCTGGGCCAGGGAGGCACGTGCACCGATCCTGGGCCCAGGATGGGCCTGGGATTGCTCCCCCCCCCCCCTGGGCCTCGTGCGGGGCGCTCTGTGGAGGCAGCCTGCGCCTCCCTGGGGAAGGGGAGGGGGCCCCTCGGGCCAGGGCCACACTTCTGGCAGCGTATCTGCCGTTGTGCGCTCCCTGGGCACGCGGCTGCGTGGGGAGGTCCCTCTGCTGGGCTTTCGTGCCGCGGCCGCTCCCAGGACGCGGAGATCGACGAAGGGACGGGAGGGAGAAGCAACGTGAGGCGAGGCGAGGGTGAAGCGACGACAGCCTAAGCCCCTTCAGCAGACGAGACTTGTGTCCACATCCACTGCGCCTTGACGTGTCGGGCCCCCTTCCCCAGAAACCGGAGACACAGTGGGTATGGCTACAAGTCCAACCCCTTCTCGAGGCTCGGTTCTTGTCCACATCCACTGCGCCTCGGCAATTGATAGGGGAACCCAAAAGGCACGGATACCGCAACTCCCCAGACCTCTCCTGGGGCGCGTTCTGACCAGGATTTCGAGGCGCCTCCAGCGGTGGCGACGAGGGCCACCCAGGAGGCCCCAAAGAGGGAGAACGGGCGGAGGGGTAGAGGTATGGATACATCTTCCTCCTCTTCTCCTCTGTCCCCGAAGCTGGCGGGCATCCGAGCTCCCCGCCGTCGGGTGCCGCACGCGGTGAGTGGTCGTCTCGCCGCAGCGTGCTCTGGGCTGCGCTGCTGAAAGCCAAGCTGCGGGCACGACTGCAACCAGTGGGGGGGAAGAGGGGGCAATCGAGCAGATGCCGCGTCGGAATACCGCAGGGGCATGAGGCAAGATGTCGCCCAATGGGACATGCTGGGGCACATTCTTCGTGGATCTTTGAGGGTCCCGGGGTGCCCAAGAGGTCCCTTGGGGCCATCTGGGGACAAGACATTTCCGTGGGCCACCTGCTGGCGAGCCAATTTCTCATGTGGTGTGCATAGTGTGCAGGGAATGGTGACGAAGAGGGTGTGATAAAGCCGGGGGCGCTTCACGATATCCTAACGACACACACAACCCCTGCATGCTTCCCAATCAACCACAACCCAGGGGTGCGTAAATGAAAGATGCTGCGTCCGCTGTTGTTGCTGTTTAGGCCTTCTATTTACGAAACGAGATTGCCAACACACTGAATTTGACAACACACTGAATATGACAGCCTTGCGGCCAGCGAGCGGCGGCGTGCCATCCACACCGACTCGGCAGAGTTAACAATACCCGAATACTGAAATTATGGCTCAAATAAGATCCTGCCTTACCAACGGCCCCACTACGGTCACAACAGTACGGAGGAGCGGAACAGCTGCGGAACGTAGTTCCGAAAGGAAGCGGAGCGTAGACTAATGCCAAATACAACGAGCACATAGAACTGGTGGAACATTCATCGGCAACCCCAAGGTCATGCATTTGACACGGCCACAGAAAACGACGATCACTCCATCCAAACCTGGCAAACTCCTTCTCCTCAATATGAGCCCGAAATTCCGAACAACACACACACACCAATTCTGACCCCACGCGAATGGGGCAAACCCGTGCGAAACGTGTGCGGAAACCGACGGGCCAGGCGACGATCAGGTCGGACACCCTTTCTGGGGGGGCTTCTCTACTGGGAAACGTCGGAAGCAGGGCGTGCGAGTCACTGGGGCGAGGGGCGGTGGCTGGCGTGGAGCGGCGACAATAACGGAGGGTATGCAGCCGAAGTGAAGGCTGGCGGGTCATGGCGATTGAAAAGGGGGCCTG